ATATATACATATACATATTTATACACACACACATATATATATAATTGCACACACTAACATACATACATACATACACACACGTAGAAAAGTTATGAATGAGAATGAATATCTTCACAATACAAGAGATGTATCTGACCGACTACATCTTCGTCAGCATTTCTGACGAAAACATAATCGAAACCGGTCTAATACATCTCTTGTATTGTGAAGATATCCATTCTCCTTCATACCTTTTCTACATTTGTCAACACACACACATACACACATATATATACATCTATATATACAAATACATACATTTATACATACCTATATATACACACATATACATATGTATGTGTATGTATAAGCATATGTGTATATATATGTACATATATGTGTATATATGCATATATATTCATGTGTGTATATGTATATATGTATATATATACATACACATATACACACATACATAAATGGACATACATACATACATACACACACACACATATATATCATATATTATATAATCATATAATATACATATACATATATGTATGTAGATGTATAAGTATGTATATGTATGTAGATGTGTGTAAGCATATATATAAATATACATAAGTAATTCCTTGACCTGAAAGGAGAAATTTTGTTATACTGTTAATGAATGCTATAGAATTAGGTTAACTAGATTAAATGCAATAATAATAAATACTTATAAATAAGTATAAAATAGATTTAAAACAAGCTTAGCATTGGATATGTCACAGGAAAATGCATTAAAAATGTCATACAAAATTACAATTTCGCACACATGCACATCCGTGCATACACAGACACACATACACGCACGCGCTCAAAGGAAAAAAAACGTGTATGTATTATAGGATTATGTATGTACATATCTATATAACTTTATATAAATAATATCATTTATGTACATACTACATAACCTAATAATACCAAGTGTCTTCTTATACACACATTCCGAAAACATATTTAATGTTAATGCACTGCTTGTTCCACAAGTACCAGGATGCTTTTACAACAAGGATCAATGTCCCGATCCTCATTTGGACATCAGGACATCTGAGGATGCTGCTTCGTTGTTATTTAAAATGTATTTACACCTGCTTAGTCCGACCGCAGTTTTTTTTTTTACCATAAGTGATGCAGAAGCTGTAAGCTGTAAGTGTAGAGAACTGACTGTAGATACTCGAGGCAGAACCCTGACCTTACCACTTTGGCCACTCAACCTCGAAACTCGAGTTAGTGGAAAGGAACACTGAAACCTCATTTATAGAAACAGGGTCCAGCCTCTCACCCATATATCTGTCAATTACTGGTACCAAATCCCAAAACAGATTCTAGATACTGGATACGGGGTCGGGGATAACAACGATGAAATACAAAGGCATTTGATGAAAGATACAATTGCCATAATCACCAAGAGGTTGTTCTCTGTTGAACATTTATTTTGGGTAACCTGGGGTCTGTGGGGTACCTGACCTTGAGGTCTCGTGGTGACAACAGTGGAAGGGTGAATGGAGTTGGTAGCTGAATTTAAGAAATAGGGAAGTATGGACGACGATAGTGTGGATCTCAGGGTAATAATGGAGTTTAAAGGATTGCAGTCTTGGGGGGAAAGGGTTTAATAACAGGGCGCTAATGATGACAAATTGTACAGGAATTGTAATGACCGACAAGGAGTGAGGTAAACAACATGGTTACAAAAATACAGCTTAATGCTGGGGTTCACAATCGAGTGTGGAGTCGCATTAGGGTGTGAATCAGTAGTTTGGGTTGGCATCTAATACTGTGGTAAAGTGGGTGGCATTGACAGAGACAGAAGACCAAGTGGATGAAATACAATTGCGATTCTCGCACTGCTTGTGAGGAATCGAGTCATTTCTATTTGAGAAAAAAACAAACTCTGGTAAACCAGAACGCAGAACTGCGTACTGCAAGCAGGAAAAAGACGGTGACAGAGATACGACTGTCGGGGTCACATGCTGACAGTGGTAATAGAAAAGAAGCTAAGTTGAGGCTCTTTTACTATACATCTACAATTTTCGAGCAAGGGGCATGCAGCGTGCATTTTCTATTATTGCAAAGGTGTTTAAGGGACAGTAAGCAACCTCCTATCACCTTTTTATTCTTATTCTTATTTGAGGCCGCCATATCCGGCGGCGTGGAAGGTGTCTGATTGGCTGAAACTTGGTGACCTTGACCAATGGGCGTGGAGGGGGTGGAGCCGTTGCTTGTGGCCCCGCCCCCATTCGCCTTATGATTGGCTGCCCGGGGCATGACAGTTCGGGTTTTCGGTCGTCGCCAACCCTGTAAAGTGACAAGTACCCAACATAGGAGAGAGAAAATGTGCCCAATAAAAATAAATACAAAATGGTGCGCCACATCAAAAATGTTGGTGCTGCTTAACAAAAAATATTTGTTTTTCTAAAAAAGGAAGAAATAACAAAGTGCTCCGAAAAGAAAATTTGCTTGACAGACCGGGGTGCCCTTAAAGGGGAAAGGGGGTCATCTGTGTCAAAAAAAAACCTGATCAGAACTAGTCATGGAAGTGAAACACACGCCACGGTATAAAGGAAATAGAATAAAAATCAAACTCTATTAAAGGAAGCACAATTCTCTTATCAGCTGCTGTGAAAACGATGGTTAAAAATGAAATTGAAGTTTCTTTAATTTCTTGATCATGGCATGGAATGAGACGGAAGAAAAGTTCATTAAAATTCAATTCCATTTCTTTTTCTCTTACAGCGTGGGAAGAGGGTGTGTGTGATCAAGAAGGTGCCTTTCGCTACAGAAGGGGCTAAGAATGACATGCCAGGACACTCGGTGGGGCGTGGGAGGGGGAGGGGGTCAAGAGACAAGGGTTCCTCAGTGCCTCGACCTGTTTATCACACATGATGGCTTAGACGACGGGGCAGGAGGATTTGGGTGATTTATTCAGGGTCAAATTTAGGAGTCTACACAGCTAAGAGAAAGTCATAGCCTGAAAAAAAGTTCCGGGTTAAAATATGTACAAGATTCCTTAAACAATACACTTACCGGTGGGTATAACATATCTTTACACTAACACATATATCCATGTATGTAACATGTATTCATACACATTCATACATATGTGTATATATATATATATATATATATATATATATATATATATATATATATATATATATATATATATATATATATATACTACATGTATATTAGATAATATATATCATATATTATATATTACACATTACATATTATATATATTATGTATATATATATATATATATATATATATATATATATATATATATATATATATATATATATATATATATATATATATATATATATATAGATATAGATAGATAGAGAGAGAGAGAGGATAAATCAAAGAGCGAGAAAGAAGAAGGGCCGTGATCGACTCGCGGCTCACGAGGATAAGCATAATCGCATTATCTCTACTCCGCACGTAACACCGGGTACAAAGCTTCTTTGGGACGAATATTTTTCACTCTATCGCTGTCGTGACGTAGATGCACGTATAATCTTTGTGCTGGACGAGGCCGAGACTCTACCTGCGTGCCCTCGCCCTCCTCTCGAGCGTCGGGCGCCACCACCATGTTGAGGATCCGACAGCCACCGCGGCGTCACGCCACCAGCTCTTCTGCCGCGCACAAGCCGCCGAGGACACACTGGGCGCACGTCTCCCCGCCAGGGAATCCGGGGAGTCTCTTTATAATAATGCCTACCCCACTGTCTTCAGCAGAGGGTGGGGGGTCTCCCACATGAAAACAAGAAAACGTCCACTGTTTTTTTGTTTTTTTGCTTTTATTTTAAACACGTCTGTTTTCAGTTCACTGCATCACTGAAATCACAAGGTCACTGTGAGATATACTTTGAAATGACTTGCGAAAAAAGAAAACGCATATATTCTGTTGTAATGAGAGAGAGTTTATGCGAAGGGGCAATCGTCTCGACATGCATATTCATCGACAGTAGAATAATACCGATATTATCTATTTTCGCTTGTAATTCGAGAAATAATAAAGAAAAGGCCTGAAGTTTAAGATTTATTTGAGATTATTTTTTTCGTGTCTCAACTTGACGCATCCCTTCCCCCCCTCAAGAAGGAAGCGCAAAGTATTTCAAGAATGCAGTCAGTTTCGAAAACAGCATACGATAGCTAAACATTTACTGTTCACACAAACGCGTATACAGACACACAGACACACACACACACACACACGCACACACGCACGCGAGCACGTGTCTACATGCCTCCGCCTCTGCGAACCAGCATTCCACGCAATCTCAACAGTCTGTTTACGTCAGAAAATATTTGCATAGCGTCCAATAATTCAATAAACACGACTGGCGCGGCTCGGTACAAAATTATTCACGGGGCTCAGTGAAGAAGCTCCAAGGGGAGACGCGCAGCACACAACCCAGACGCCCAGGAAATGATAATGATAACAATGGCGACAATTCACTAATGACAGCGACAGATAACATGAAATTAAAAGCGGTGTCAATCTAAACAATGGCATTCTTAAGGACAAAGAATGGTCTAGTAGCAACAATAACCGATATGTAAATAACGTTTGGTGTACTCTGCATAAAAGGGAATCACAGGCAATAGCAATAAACAAATACATAGCAGAATGATTAAAATAACTACACCTCAATTCATCTGTGTCCACTGGGCGAGCGAACTCCCTTTTAACCTTTGTTTCCGCCTCTTCTGAACTTTGTCACTTCAGAAGAAATGCATTAAATAAACGCATACACAAAAGCAAACTAAAAATAGCTTCCCACCACAAAAATCCCTCATAAAATGGAGCCTTTTTAGATTCCCAACAGAGAAAAGTGTTGCCAGACAGACATGCTGCCTTGAGATGAAAGAGGGTCTTTGCGGTACTTATTTCACATGGCATTGAATCAAGCAATCAGTAGTAAAGATGCGCGTGTAACCACAGATAAATGGAACCATCACCAGCCACTAATCGAGTAGATTCACGAGTCGCGGAAGATTTATTTAAAAAAGATGCAGGTGTTACGAATACATTACATCGAAATATTGCCCACTCTAGTAGATGGCTTAACTGACTTGCCATTTGACTCAATCTAATTAGGACGATTACCAAACCCTTCTTAATGACACCGCATCAACAAATCTCGCAGTTCAAACACGCTATGCGACTTTAACTTGTCTCTCCAGCTATAATCTTTCTAACTTGTACATCAAACCCCATCACAAACGGTTTTTTTTTTCCCACGTAAAGGCCGAACTACGTTAAGTCTTCCGTACAAATACACACTGGCCTTCCAGCGACCGCAGCTTCCCTTGGCGCAAAGGAACGTAAACTTGAGGACAGAGTAACCGCATGGTGGGCGACAGCTTCCCCCCCCCCCCCCCCCATCTCCCTATTTTCCGCTTGCTTCCTTCTCTCGCCTCGCTTCCCCAGCCACTTCCTAGCCTTACTCAGTCCGGAAGTAAACATCAAGTGCATCATAGCAGCGACTAATGAGTACATATTTTTAATAAGAAATATCTTCATTAGACCTATGTCGCATTCGTATACCATTTCCATCGATGTACCGTATAACATCTGATATTTACGTAACTATATTAAGAGTTTGGAATTTACTCGTACACATATTTGGAAAGGTTTGATTTCATTTCGGTAGTTCATCCTAATGTAATCAAAGTGACACACCACAACACTGAATGTTATTTTAAACAAATAAATTTTCCTACCGACATTCAGTAAGGTTTATCAAAATCAATAGCATTTCTGAGAACGAACGATCAACGAGTAACATTAAATATTTACGATTCCAAAAATAAGGCAGACGAGCCAAGAGGCAAAAACACATCAATAATTAAATTTCTCGCTCGCACTCACTATAGTAATACAAGATTGATATAACACTGATCAATAGCAATTTGTTTTGCACGGGGTAGTCTGCAGGTCTGGCAGCGATTCACAGCCAACGTTCCCAGGCCAAACTCAGAGTGGACGTGACATTCGCTACTTAAAAAACAATAAAATCTACGTCAGTAAAAAAAGAAATCCTGACATAGCATCAATGAAAGCAATATTGCAGAATTCACTTCCCTTTTTCACTTCAGTCTGTCAGGCGTCTGTTGGCCTTGCTCCACTAGGTCTATCACATTTTTTTTTTCTCGGGCAACTTTGTGCACACCATAAAATTCACTCCACCATTGCGTTTGTCCCGCCAACTCTATTCCCAAACTATTCACACTTATTTTTGAGAAGAACGTCAACTATTTCCTGTACAATACGTTCACTTCGCAGAGAACCCCTGCGCCTTATCTTCACTGGGCGATAATAGCGAGCTTCCCGTTCGGCTTGTAGGGTCTTGTTTCTATCAGCACACGCACTAAATGTCAGACCTCTTTGCGTTGAACACTAGATCAAAATGCGGTTTAAACACGAACTCATCCCGTGATCTCCCTACAAACAAGGGTGAGATCGCCAGACCACACACTTCGACTCGGGCACAACGCGTTGTCGACCGGTTACGAGAGGCACTGGACGCCACAGACTCATGACTCACACTGCCGACCAAGCAACACACAACACTCTCGATTTCCTGTGTGACCCTCCTTCACCCCGGCCCCTCGCCAGTCCTCCAGCCACCAACAGCGCGGAGAGCACGTACACACGCGCCCTCGCCACGTGTGCGAGTCAGGTGTGAGTTGTAGCTGACGCGGCCTGTCGCTCTCTCGGTACTGTCAGGCAGTCGGAGCACAACTGTTCCCGTCCGTGATGGCGCTGCTACGGGTGCCGGCGACGGTCGCACACCCTCACTGGGGACGTGTCTACCTTCCCATAGTCAACATCACTAAGTTACATGTGCTGGCGAGGCATGTAGTGGAAGAGCAATATGTTCTGACAATCTGACCTTATCAAGACATTCAATCTTGATCTACTGCCGGCACTTTCATACACTGCAATAAAGCGAAAGGAATATCGCAGTGCACTACATCACGCTTAGTTCTTTTCATCCTCACTCATTTAATATTTTCTCACCACTAGGCGTGAAAGCCACGCGCGTGGGTGCTGGGGCGAGGCGAGGGGCACACGGCCTCTCGCGGAGCACGAGGCAGGCACAAACACACATGGTCTGAGTCATGTCCGCGTCCGAACACGCCAACTCCCGCTCCATCCGCCATAAACATCGGCCACCCCGTCCCTGTGGCTTCAAACCTGTTCCCCATTTTTGAGACTCTCCCCCGCGGGTCGATAAGTGTCTCGGCCCGACAGCTAAAGCACGCCCTTGAATTTAGCTTG